TGCCGGGAGTGGCGCCCGAAGCCCTCACAAGGGCCCCGACTGCTGCATCGTCCCCCTGCCCCCAGCCTGGCGCCCCCCCCCCCCGTCGTTAGCCACTGCCTCCCCCCCCCGCCCGATGATAAGAGCCGCTCGGGTGCGGGGATCTGGTTCCAGGGCCCTCGGGGAGCAGCCCCCGCAGGGGGGGGGCCTGCTGGGGCACAGCCCCTCGCTACCCCTCTCCCTGCAGCCTGAGCTGCTCCCCCGCCAGCACATTCTCTAGCTGCCCCCGCCTGCATCCTGGGCGATTTTCAAACTTTTTGAGCTGAGCCCCCTCCCCCCCCTTTGAGTTATATATTTTTGGTTGCATCCCCCCATAACCCAGACAGGCTGGGTGGCCTGCTGAGGTGAGTCAGGGGGTGGAGGTGGCGCGCCCTCTCTGAACCCCGCTGTGTGGAGCAGGCCCCCCTCCAAATAGAAGTCAAACGATGCCTATACCCAAGGGTCCCAGCCCGAAGCCCTCCTGAGTCCGCTCCCTGCCCCATTGGGCCCTGGAGTTTCTATAGTATGTTGGGGGGAGGCTCAGAAAGAAAAAGATTGAACCCCCTGCTCCAGGAGTTGTCAAAGATAAGTGCTAACTGTTTCAAGATTGCTTCAGCTAACTCCTTTAGTACCTTAGGATGAATTTCATTAGGCCTTGCAGACTGTAATACATCTAACTTATCCAAATATTTATTAATGAGGGCTGTTGATTAACTGCAGTTAACTCATGCGATTAATTTAAAAAAATGTATCGCGATAAAAAAATGAATTGTGATTAATCACAGTTTTAATCGCGCTGTTAATAAATTTCAATTGGTATTCTATTGTTTAAGTATTTTGGATGTTTTTTTTACATTTTCATATATACTGTATTCTGTGTTGTAATTGAAATCAAGGTGTACATTATTTTTTATTACAAATATTTGCACTGTAAAAATGATAAACAAAAGAAATACTATTTTTCAATTCACCTCATACAAGTACTGTAGTGCAATCTCTTTGTCATGAAAGTGCAATTTACAAATGTAGATTTTTTTTTGTTACATAGCTGCACACAAAAACAAAACTGTAAAACTTCAGAACCTAGAAGTCCACTCAGTCCTACTTCTTGTTCAGCCAATCTCGAAGACAAACAAGTTTGTTTACATTTACAGGAGATAATGCTGCCCTCTTCTTAGTTACAATGTCACCAGAAAGTGAGAACAGGTATTTGCATGGCACTTTTGCAGCCGGCATTGCAAGGTATTTATGTGCCAGATATGCTAAACATTCATATGCTCCTTCATGCTTCAGCCACCATTCCAGAGGACATGCTTCCATGCTGATGACACTCGTTAAAAAAATAATACGTTAATTAAATTTGTGACTGAACTCCTTGGGGGAGAATTTTACGTCCCCTACTCTGTTTTACTCGCATTCTGCCATATATTTCATGTTATAGCAGTCTCAGATGATGACCCAGCACATGTTGTTTGTTTTTAGAACACTTTCACTGCTGATTTGACAAAACACAAAGAAGGTACCAATGTGAGATTTCTAAAAATAGCTACAAGGAGTCTGGTGGCACTTTAAAGACTAACAGATTTATTTGGGCATAAGCTTTCGTGGGTAAAAACCTCACTTCTTCAGATGCATAGAGTGAAAGTTACAGATGCAGGCATTATATACTGATACATAGAGAGCAGGGAGTTACTTCACAAGTGGAGAACCAGTGTTGACAGGCCCAATTCAGTCAGGGTGGATGTAGTCCACTCCCAATAATAGATGAGGAGGTGTCAATTCCAGGAGAGGAAAAGCTGCTTCTGTAATGAGCCAGCCACTCCCAGTCCCTGTTCAAGCCCAGATTAATGGTGTTAAATTTGCAAATGAATTTTAGTTCTGCTGTTTCTCTTTGAAGTCTGTTTCTGACATTTTTTTGTTCAATGATAGTGACTTTTAAATCTGTAATAGAATGACCAGGGAGATTGAAGTGTTCACTTACACTGTGTTATAATTGAAATCAATATATTTAAAAGGTTTTTCATTATTGTTTAACAGTGCGATTAATCACAATTAATTTTTTTAATTGCTTGACAGCCCTATTAGTAACCGGTTATTTCCCCATTGTGGTTTCTGTTCCTTCCCCCTCTTGGTTAAGAATTATTGTTTTACGTATCTGGTCACAATTAATCTTTTTTAGTGAATGTAAAAAGGCATTAAACACCTTATTCTTCTTTTAGTCATCTGTTATGAGCTCTCCTTCCCTTGTAAATAGAGGACCTACCCTTTCCTTTACCTTTGTCTTGCTCCTAATATATTTATAGAACCTTTATCTTATTGCCTTTTATGTCACTTGCTAGGTGTAACTCATTTTGTGAGTTAATCTTTCTGATTTTGTTCCCACATGCTTGTGCTACTCTTTTGTACTCATCTGTAGCAATTTGTCCATGATTCCACTTTTTTTTAGGATTCCTTTTTATTTTCTGGTCATTAAAGAGTTCCTGATAGAGCCATATTGCCCGCTTACTATTCTTTCTATCTTTCCTTCACATTGTGATAGTTTGGTGTTGCTCCTTTAATATTGTCTCTGAGAAACTGCCAGATCTCTTCAACAATTTTTTCACCTCAGATTTTATTCCCATGGGACCTCACCTACCAGATCTCCGCGTCTATTGAAGTCTGCCTTTTTGATTTCCATTGTCCTTAGTTTGTTACTCCCATGCCTGCCTTCTCATAAAAACAACAAGGAGTCTGGTGGCACCTTAGAGACTAACAGATTCATTTGGGCATAAGCTTTCGTGAGTAAAAAACTCACTTATTTTTATCCCATCTATTATTGGGAGTGGACTACATCCACCCTGATTGAATTGGCCCTGTCAACACTGGTTCTCCACTTGCGAAGT